GTGTAACAACTAGTGCAATATACTTTTAACAGTGGTACAAGTAGTGCAATTTTCTTGTAACAGTGTACCAACTAGTGCAATATACTTGTAACAGTGGTACAACTAGTTCCATACACTTGTAACAGTGTAACAACTAGTGCATTATACTTGTTACAGTGTAACAACTTGTGCAATATACTTGTAACAGTGGTACAAGTAGTGCAATACACTTGTAACAGTGTAACAACTAGTGCAATATACTTGTAACAGTGGTACAAGTAGTGCAATATACTTGTAACAGTGTAACAACTAGTGCAATATACTTGTAACAGTGGTACAAGTAGTGCAAAACACTTGTAACAGTGGTACAAGTAGTGCAATATACTTATAAAAGTGGTACAATTAGTGCAATATACTTGTAACAGTGTAACAACTAGTGCAATATACTTGTAACAGTGGTACAATTAGTGCAATATACTTGTAACAGTGGTACAACTAGCGCAATACACTTGTAACAGGGGTACAACTAGTGTCATACACTTGTAACAGTGGTACAGCTAGTGCAATATACTTATAACAGTGGTACATGTAGTGCAATACATTTGTAACAGTGTAACAACTAGTGCAATATACTTGTAACAGTGGTACAAGTAGTGCAAAATACTTGTAACAGTGTAACAACTAGTGCAATATACTTGTAACAGTGGTACAAGTAGTTCAAAACACTTGTAACAGTGGTACAAGTAGTGCAATATACTTATAAAAGTGGTACAATTAGTGCAATATACTTGTAACAGTGGTACAACTAGTGCAATATACTTGTACAATGACACTCGTGTTTTAACTCTCAAAGTACTGTTGCACCATGTCAAACTGTCTGGAATGAATGAATGAATTTCTTTATTTGCCCCCAGAGTTAAATCCGAAGATTTTACATAGGCAAATACATTATTTACAATGTATCAATGAAATTACTTGACCATATACAACGAAATTATGTTATACAGTGCTCTGAATAAACAATTTACAATGTACATTTTGTGAGCAGTAAGGTATAAGTGTCTTGTAGCTATACATAAGGTATTTCTTCAAATTCCATATAAAGTGGCAGAAAGACAGTATGATGCTTTGACAAGTATCATAATGAGTTTCGGCAGTCAGGTCATGAACATCTGCACCGAGGAAGAATGAAAGCATATCATCGTCATCAAGCATATCTATTTTCACATATACATCAACATCAAGTTTATCACACAGTGCAAAATAATATGGCAATCATAGTCATAGCAATGTCTATTACAATGGTTACATTCCTTCGACACTTTTGCTCTTGATCCGATTTTAATACAAAGTTGCTGGGGTTGTCTTAAATGTGGACAGAGATACATTACATTAGAAAGAACATTCATTTGTAACCGTTTATGAATTTTATGGTTGCGTGAAAGATCTGGTCTCTGTGCCTGTCTCTCTCTCCAAATGTATTGTTCATTCTCTGATAGACGTCTGATTACAAGAGCTCGCCAAGCCGATTAAGTTGGGAATGAACCACTATCAGTATATAGAAGGATGCTGCATATGCTTACTGGACGGGTAATATTGACAATAGCGTTGGTAGAAATGTGAGGACAAAATAGATCTTTTGTTATTGAGTTGCAGTTGTGATTACAGAGCCTTCCTAATAACTGAAATCTACATGTATCAATGTAGCAACACATTTCCAAGTTAGAAATAGACGAATCGGTTGGATGTCTTTTACCAAACCCTTGTATATGGTGAACAAAGTAGCTTTGTGTACATTCAACAATTTCAAGTTCTTTACCGTGTATGGCTGGTAGCAATTTACGTCCATTCAAGCTTATATATATATTGACACACGCAACTGGGTGGAGGTCGGAATCGTTAAGGCCGAGTGATCGCAATGACTTTACACATTTTCTTGCTGTTGTGCAACACAGTCATTGTCGATATGCTATTTATATGTACAGTTATCGGTTATAGAATGCAGACTTGTCAGCAATACATTTTAGCAGCAATATTTTAGGGATATGAGAAAGTTTCAAATTTGGCACTATGACGTCATATTTTCTGCGTCACAATAAGCTAGGTGATATCATAATAGCGATGCGTGGTTCAGAACAAAACCTTGCAAGGTTTCTGGGTGCTCTTGGGGTGCTTCCTTCATGCTGGCTTTCGAAGTGGCATACGCGAGTAAACCATATTGATGTAAAAAAGAACATAAAGCGTCATTATTTGTTAAAATACTACTATAGTAGTATTGGTGATTCCTGTTTTGAAATAAACGACTCATTTGAAACGATGGACTAAACCCATGCCGCTTCACTCAATGTCTTCGCTAGCCCCAATGGAGATGCCACAGAAGCGTTCTTCGCGTAAAATTTGGGCAGGGCTGGGCCAGTTGCCTGAGCCCCGTAATACACCGCTGTGTAGAGTTGCGTCGTTGGTTCGAATCCCGGTTCGCCAAATTTATAATAAATTTAACAAACACATGTTACAGTGAGTGAACATCACCGGAATGAGAAGCTGCTTGACTGAGTATCAGTCATTACTGACCCCAGCACGGGGCGCAGTCGACTATACGACCTACGCTTCTAAGCATCAGAAACAGTATTTTGCAGCATGCCATTAACATGTAAATATTCCCAGAAACATCGTGGTTATTTCAGGATATTTAAACATGTACAACAACGAATGGTTGGGGGGTGGGTGGGTGGGGTGGAAAACATCTAGATGCGCTTATTATTATACGAAGAAACTGGTTATACATCGTTACGTAATCGTCGACAATATCATAAAATGTGTCTGTTTCACAAAAAATATTTATTAAGAAAACGCCATCACATCTGTCAGACGTAATTCCTCTGAACGTATCTACTACATCAACACATGATACGAGGTCATCTTCAACATACTCCAACACCCTCTTTGCCAAACTGAATTATACAAAGCAAAATTTGGCTTGGAATAGGTGTATTAATCAATATCGTTGTTTGGAATCTTTCACAGAAAGTAGAAAATCACAACGTATGTTTGTCATCAATAATTAAGTAAAAAAATGCATTCGACATATTCTATCTCTACACGTTTATAAAAGTATAAACAGTATAAAAGGGCAGGATCGATGAACCTGCCTTGAAGCAGACTTCGGTTGTGACTTTGTAGCGTTGGGAAAATCACTATCGTTCCAGACTCAAAGGGCAACATGTAATAAGAATACCCACAAAGACGGTACCTGAATGTATTCTTTGCCTTTCTATGGAGGGGGGATTCGACTTTCTTTCTCATATCTGATCGTAGATAAAGGTTGTTAGGGAGACCTACTTTTGCCATGCTTCCCATGTTGTTTGTAATCATAGAAATTATCAGCTCTTATTGCTTTTGTCAGAACTTAATTCAATGAACTAAGAACTAAATCAAGCCTTTGACATGTCACAGACCTGTTGTCGTGCTCTGATAGTCACGTTCAATGTCTTTCTATACTGAACAACAAAAGTTCCTGTGACATTGAATAAGATTTAATGCAAAGTTATGTTTTTTTACCAAATCTGAAACAATTTCGGTTTGCAACAGAGAAATGACTCCTGTAAGTGTTCAAATGGTTTAATTTGCCATACTGACTTCAGAAAATGCGTGATTTCATAAAAAAAACCATGAACATGCCAAAATGTCAATTTACAAATCAATAGCGTGTGTGTCCACCTCTAGTTGCGATGCAAGCAACACATCTTCGTCTCATGGAATGGAACAGGCGTCGCACAAAGTCCTGTGGGATATCTGTCCATATCTGTTGGAGCATGTTTCGAAGTTCCTGTAGTGCGTGTGAAACACATGGTTGACGTCGAAGGCGCCGATCCATCTCATCCCACATGTGATCGATTGGTGAGAGATCAGGGGAGCGAGCCGGCCAGGGGATGACATTCACGTTGTTTTGTTGAAGAGAATCCTGAACAAGTCGAGCAACATGAGGCCGGGCGTTGTCATGTTGAAAGGTAATGCCTGGGCCATGACGACGCAAAAACGGTAGAACAACAGGGTCAATGATCTCGTCGCGGTAGTTCTGTCCATTGAGATTTCCCTCTACCACTATCAAACGGGTCCTCTGTCTTGCTGTAATCCCACCCCATAACATAACGCTACCGCCCCCGAAACGATCTTCTTCCATGACACAATGATTGACGTAACGTTCACATCGACGTCGGTGTGGCTGAGGTGAAAACGAGACTCGTCAGTGAATAGAACTTGTCCCCACTGCATGGCTGTCCAGCGTAGATGCTGTCTGCACCACTGTATACGTGCTTGACGGTGGTTTCCTGTCAAAATGGGACGTCTGGCGGGTTTCTGACGACAAACCCTACACATCTGAGGCGACGATGTACGGTTTGTGAAGATATTCGTCGAAGGCCAGGGATGCTTCTTGCAGTCACTGTTGCTGGCAGGAATCGATTTCGTAGGTGTGTTGTTCGAATCCAGTTGTCTTGTCGATTATTGGTTACGCGTGGCCTGCCACTCCGAGGATGGTCTCTGTCTGCATTCGTCTGTTGCCAACGTTGCCATAAACACCAAATGGTGTTTCTGTGGACGTTAAATTGTCTTGCAACATCACGTTGACTCCTGCTTCAAGCATACCAATGGTTCGCAGACGCTCATTTTCGGACAGGCGTGGCATTTCGTAATGTTGAATAATTGCGTAACTAAGTTGTTTATCTGGGTGGATGTTGTCAACACGATGATAAACAATGCATATGGAATCCCGTTAACGGACATGTTTTTATACCCATTCTTGGGTAGTGAAATGCATGTGGCTTGCATAAAAGTCAACCTTTGCATGGAATGCATGCTTTTCTGTAGCAGTTGCATTTTTGTGACTTGATTCCATACTTGTTTGAAAAATACACTAAAATATTGGTGTCACAGGAACTTTTATTGTTGAGTATATTATCGATGCCAGTTTCCAAGCATGAACTTAGTTCAATAATCAAATACACTATGATCTGAGTTAGACTGTGCGTTGTAGCTGCAGGACAAAAGAAGACGATCAATGATCTCGAGTACTCTGCGTCTTGTAAGAGACAGACCAACTCAGCGCTCTTTGTTTCAACCATGCAGAAACCGTTGAGGGCAACACGCATACATAATGTTTGGAGTGATATTTTCCTTCAATGACATGTTGTCAAACTAATCATTTTCACAACTTAGTGATGTAATAACAAGTGTATTGAAGGAAACAAGAACGGGTTTTAAGGACACTGAAACAAATTCAGCTTTCAAGGTATACGTGTGGAAAAGTCAGCGGCCGCTATTCAAAGAGGTCACGAAGTGGTCAGTCCAAGACATACTTTCAGTCACAACTGTGTGAGTGGACATCGACGGCCTTCGTTGATGATATAATTAATCTGAAAAACAAAATACAAGATGAAAACTTCTCTAATAACAATGTTGTTTGTGGAGCTGATGACAGGAGGTAGCCAAGACACGGGGACATGCAGTCGAGAGGTTAACAACCCCGGGCTCATGGCTAGTAGTAGACTCGTGGGGTCAGTCTACCTCGTGCTTCAGACCCTCAACCTACAGGACTGTGTGGCGTCATGTTTGCAGCAGTCTCGCTGCGACAGCTTGAATTTCAAGGCGGGACAATGCGAGCTCAACTACGACAACTCGACAACGGCTCCTTCTGGAATGGTGGCTGCCTCTGGTTGGAACCATGCAAGCGCGTCACATATGCCATCGGTAAGTAATGACAATGATATATATGATACAAATGATAATCATGATAATAATGAAAATAATATAAGTTGTAGCGGTATCCCTTGTGTACCTAACGAGGGACGCATAAGACCACATGTACCTCGAGTGACACTGCGTCGAACTGATCTGACCGAGAAGTTTGAATATGACATTGTAAAGGAATTAAAACAAATTCAAAATTGATAGAAAACAGCTGTTCGACTGAGCTGAGGTTAACCTGAAACGTGACTTTCATTGACTCGGACAAATCGTGAAGCGGGGTATAAGGGATTTATTCCCCCTCTCAAAATCCACGTGCAGCCTGTCTTGTTCATCATTCTGACGTGGTACCCGTCAAGACCCGGGGTAGAATAGGTCTTCAGCAACCCATGCTTGCCGTCAGAGGCGACTAAAGGAATAGGGTGGTCAGGCCCGCTGACTTGGATGGATTGTCTGGTCCTGACCCGATTATTTTCCGACCGCCGTCACATTGCTGGAATATTGTGTGCGGCGATCCACATGTCAACAGCATGGTACAGATCCACATTTCACCAGTATGGTACAGATCCACATGTCACCAGTATGGTACAGATCCACATGTCACCAGTATGGTACAGATCCACATGTCAACAGCATGGTACGGGTCCACATGTCACCAGTATGGTACAGATCCACATTTCACCAGTATGGTACAGTTACACATGTCAACAGCATAGTACGGGTCCTAAGTATATTGAAGTCATGTGCCAGGGTATGTAGCTAAAATCGAGAGATGTGATAAGACTAATTTCAGCCGAAACGCCCTTCGTAATTAAAGACGATAATTGTTTGTTAACTGTGAGGGAAGTTATTTCAAATTCACATATGAATGATGTTTTTGGTAACATTTGCATTTTCTGTACATTTTTCAACACTAAGTGCTATGGAGTTGCTAGATTGTGACAAATGGGCAGTTTTCCCTAGTTTATTGATTGATAGGGTTAAATACTCATTGTCAGAGTTTCTCTTTAAGTTTTAGCGTTCGACCTTTTTCAATTATAATTGTAATTCTCCCCTTCTTCATCGTGACCTAAACCTGAAAGTGAGATTGGATTCAGTTTCATCACGGTGTGTCAGTTTGATGTGGGAGTTTGACGTGGTTCAGATTGAGAGCCCGACTCCTTGTATTGTTATGGCTCATGTGTGTTAAATGTTTAATTGCCTTGGGTGGGTTTTTTGTTACCATTTAGGTCGTAACTAAATACCCATTTGGTCCTTTATTGCATATAAAACATATTCTTAAAGTAAAACCTCTGCACCACCTCATGTTGGTTTTTCATGTTAGTTCAAATGCTAATCGGTAACAATTTATTAAAGTTTGTGAACAAACACACTCAATAGCCATGGCTTGCCGCTCGTAATGAAATGTTCCTGGTGGGCAGGTGCCTACTTTGACGTCAGCGTCCTACCTGTAAAAAGCCTACTGCTACATATATCCTTCGTCGGACCCCGACGCCAGAACATGTGCCGGAATCGCTGTCCAGAGAGAGAGAGAGAGAGAGAAAGAAAAAGAGAGAGTGAGACAGACAAACAGACAGACAGACAGACAGACAGACAGGCAGAGATTTACTTACAGAGAGAGACACGCATACGCACTGAGAGAGAGACACGCACACACAGAGAACAAGAAAGATAGAGAAAGACACACACACACAAACACGGGAACATTGAGATTCTCATTAACGCACGTGAAACGGATGTTCTCCTTAATCTAACCATCACCTGAATCAATCAGTGTTATCGCAAGTCAATAATTCAGAACACAACATTTGGTGCAATATCTCCACAATTACCCTTAATTAACTTAACCCCTGAATGATAATGTACTCTGAAATACTCAGAAATTGACATACACATGTGTTATCCATGGGGTGGCTCCTCCTTGTGTCACGGTAAACCTCAGGAGGAACCTACCTCTTTGTTAACTCTAAACCCTGGAACTGCTGTTCTTAAACATGGTCACATGTGTAATGGACCGTATACTTTGGCTATGAATAAAACATAAACATAATGCATTACCCGAATTTGCCCTTGTGTGTAGGGAGGTTATTACCAGAAGGTTAGGACTCAGAGGCCCGTCATTAATAACATACAGTTTATCTCGTTTGACAACACTATTCACGCCGTCACTTAGAACGTTAAAGAAAATATTTTATTTCTCCCAACGTCCCCTAAACTTAAACAATAAAGATATGACAAAGCCTGTGAATGTTGATCTTCATTTCAGCGACTTGTCGGTATTTGTGGGCCCAGGCCATGTGACGTGGACGAAACATGTAGAGACAGGGGCGGGAGCTATGAATGTGAACCAGGTAACTTGTCATCCTGTATACATAAACCATGCCAAATGTCACTAACATGTCCATATCCATTTCAAAAATAAAATGCTATCACAAGTCGGGCAGTTTAATTAACTGTTGCCTCTGTATTCCAAGCCTGTATCGTGATAGTCATGGTGTACACACTCTCAATGAAACTATCACCTGGTATCGCCAGATGGTGATCCTGGTGGTCTGTTACCAAGGGTCAGCTTGTGCGCCGATGGTGATCCTGGTGGTCAGTTACGAAGGGTCAGCTTGTGCCCCGATGGTGATCCTGGTGGTCAGTAACCAAGGGTCAGCTTGTGCACCGATGGTGATCCTGGTGGTCAGTTACGATGAGTCAGCTTTTGTGCCGATGGTGATCCTGGTGGTCAGTTACGAAGGGTCAGCTTGTGTGCCGATGGTGATCCTGGTGGTCAGTTACGATTGGTCAGCTTAAAAAATTGTGTGCCGATGGTGATCCTGGTGGTCAGTTACGATGGGTCAGCTTGTGCGCCGATGGTGATCCTGGTGGTCAGTTACGAAGGGTCAGCTTGTGCGCCGATGGTGATCCTGGTGATCAGTTACGAAGGGTCAGCTTGTGCGCCGATGGTGATCCTGGTGGTCAGTTACGAAGGGTCAGCTTGCGCGCCGATGGTGATCCTGGTGGTCAGTTACGATGAGTCAGCTTTTGTGCCGATGGTGATCCTAGTGGTCAGTTACGATGAGTCAGCTTTTGTGCCGATGGTAATCCTGGTGGTCAGTTACGAAGGGTCAGCTTGTGTGCCGATGGTGATCCTGGTGGTCAGTTACGATGGGTCAGCTTAAATTTTTTTGTGCCGATGGTGATCCTGGTGGTCAGTTACGAAGGGTCAGCTTGTGCGCCGATGGTGATCCTGGTGGTCAGTTACGAAGGGTCAGCTTGTGCCCCGATGGTGATCCTGGTGGTCAGTAACCAAGGGTCAGCTTGTGCACCGATGGTGATCCTGGTGGTCAGTTACGATGAGTCAGCTTTTGTGCCGATGGTGATCCTGGTGGTCAGTTACGAAGGGTCAGCTTGTGTGCCGATGGTGATCCTGGTGGTCAGTTACGATTGGTCAGCTTAAAAAATTGTGTGCCGATGGTGATCCTGGTGGTCAGTTACGATGGGTCAGCTTGTGCGCCGATGGTGATCCTGGTGGTCAGTTACGAAGGGTCAGCTTGTGCGCCGATGGTGATCCTGGTGATCAGTTACGAAGGGTCAGCTTGTGCGCCGATGGTGATCCTGGTGGTCAGTTACGAAGGGTCAGCTTGCGCGCCGATGGTGATCCTGGTGGTCAGTTACGATGAGTCAGCTTTTGTGCCGATGGTGATCCTAGTGGTCAGTTACGATGGGTCAGCTTTTGTGCCGATGGTAATCCTGGTGGTCAGTTACGAAGGGTCAGCTTGTGTGCCGATGGTGATCCTGGTGGTCAGTTACGATGGGTCAGCTTAAATTTTTTTGTGCCGATGGTGATCCTGGTGGTCAGTTACGAAGGGTCAGCTTGTGTGCCGATGGTGATCCTGGTGGTCAGTTACGATGAGTCAGCTTTTGTGCCGATGGTGATCCTGGTGGTCAGTTACGAAGGGTCAGCTTGTGTGCCGATGGTAATCCTGGTGGTCAGTTACGAAGGGTCAGCTTGTGTGCTGATGGTGATCCTGGTGGTCAGTTACGAAGGGTCAGCTTGTGTGCCGATGGTGATCCTGGTGGTCAGTTACGAAGGGTCAGCTTGTGTGCCGATGGTGATCCTGGTGGTCAGTTACGAAGGGTCAGCTTGTGTGCCGATGGTGATCCTGGTGGTCAGTTACGAAGGGTCAGCTTGTGCGCCGATGGTGATCCTGGTGGTCAGTTACGAAGGGTCAGCTTGTGTGCCGATGGTGATCCTGGTGGTCAGTTACGAAGGGTCAGCTTGTGTGCCGATGGTGATCCTGGTGGTCAGTGATCCTGGTGGTCAGTTACGAAGGGTCAGCTTGTGTGCCGATGGTGATCCTGGTGGTCAGTTACGATGAGTCAGCTTGTGTGCCGATGGTGATCCTGGTGGTCAGTTACGAAGGGTCAGCTTGTGTGCCGATGGTAATCCTGGTGGTCAGTTACGAAGGGTCAGCTTGTGTGCCGATGGTGATCCTGGTGGTCAGTTACGATGGGTCAGCTTAAAAAATTGTGTGCCGATGGTAATCCTGGTGGTCAGTTACGAAGGGTCAGCTTGTGTGCCGATGGTGATCCTGGTGGTCAGTTACGAAGGGTCAGCTTGTGCGCCGATGGTGATCCTGGTGGTCAGTTACGAAGGGTCAGCTTGTGTGCCGATGGTGATCCTGGTGGTCAGTTACGATGGGTCAGCTTGTGTGCCGATGGTGATCCTGGTGGTCAGTGATCCTGGTGGTCAGTTACGAAGGGTCAGCTTGTGTGCCGATGGTGATCCTGGTGGTCAGTTACGATGAGTCAGCTTGTGTGCCGATGGTGATCCTGGTGGTCAGTTACGAAGGTTCAGCTTGTGTGCCGATGGTAATCCTGGTGGTCAGTTACGAAGGGTCAGCTTGTGTGCCGATGGTGATCCTGGTGGTCAGTTACGATGGGTCAGCTTAAAAAATTGTGTGCCGATGGTAATCCTGGTGGTCAGTTACGAAGGGTCAGCTTGTGTGCCGATGGTGATCCTGGTGGTCAGTTACGAAGGGTCAGCTTGTGTGCCGATGGTGATCCTGGTGGTCAGTGATCCTGGTGGTCAGTTACGAAGGGTCAGCTTGTGTGCCGATGGTGATCCTGGTGGTCAGTTACGAAGGGTCAGCTTGTGTGCCGATGGTGATCCTGGTGGTCAGTTACGAAGGGTCAGCTTGTGTGCCGATGGTAATCCTGGTGGTCAGTTACGAAGGGTCAGCTTGTGTGCCGATGGTGATCCTGGTGGTCAGTTACGAAGGGTCAGCTTGTGTGCCGATGGTAATCCTGGTGGTCAGTTACGAAGGGTCAGCTTGTGTGCCGATGGTGATCCTGGTGGCAGTCTCTGACCACACTGACCAGTACCCATGTTCCACGTGGTAGGGATGTGGTGTTTCAGGGATATAAGGCCCCGTAAGTCATCGTGCGTCAAAGAAAATTCGTTCATTCTGTCATAGGGACTTATTTACGACAACCATTGTCTGAAGAACATTTGATTTAAAAGGCTAATTACCCTTTTGCCATGACATGTGCATGTCTCCATAACTTAATTGTCATTATGTATTAGGCGCTTATCCCCGTTGTTGGTCCTCACCACCATTTCGTTGTATATTGACTGTCAGCCAACCTGGGCTACTATATCACTTCCTGTTAATTACTGTTAGTAATACAGTATAGTATGACATTTATTGCCTTAAATGTTCATCCGCTGAGCAATGTCGGCTCATCACCCCTAGAGGTCCCATGTCCAGAACCACGTCATTGTCTGTCCATTGTTGTTCATTACTATGTATGTGTTACCATAACATGGTGTTAGAAAAGCTTGGTATTCCGAGTGCTGGTGTAGGGACGACCTCGAGCAGGATGTGCCGCTCGTAGGAAACGTCGTGAAGTTGAGCTGGAGCTCCGCTCACTTCATGTATGCCTGAGCTGGAAGGTCCGCTCATTGCTGTGTTTGTGTTGTCAGAGCAGGTGTTCATCTCATTGTGTAATTGTTTACATGTTGTCAATAAAACGTTCCGGGACAGTGATGTGAATGTAGTCCTTGATTCCACCAAGAGCCAATTCCCCGTCAACATGCGCGTTGACAATTCACATTTCAGAGCTAGATGTTGAAGTTTAACGGACTCTTGATTGATTGACTGGTTAGATACTTTATAACTCTCTTGAACGAACATCTGCATGTATATTTTGAAATGAAAGATAGATGTCTCAGTTTGATTTTAGATATTGCTAGCCATAAACATCATCTTTGAGTTCTGATCATGTGGTTTACAATCCGTGTAAGGGTTGTTAGTCAGGGTCGAACGGCTACATCGCACAACACTGCGGACTGCGGTTTTCGAACTCATGCAGCTGTTTTCGTATATTAATAATCGAGATATTTCGTGATTCTTTTTCAAGTGACGATGACTGTAGTTTCTGTTTCCTACTCTTAAGAAACAGTAGTAGGGAGTTTTATTTCCTCTCAGGGGTCAATTCATGATGATGAGGATGATGAGGATGAGGATCTTGGAGGTTTTACAAGCGCTTCCGGTGGATTTGATTTTGCACTCGGTATTCTTTTAGCGATTTCAGATGGAGGAGGCGTCGATTTGCCAGGACATACTGATGGACTTGATCTTTTGTTTTTTTCAGAGGAGTTATGCTACATAAGATCGACGCTCTATCCCGGAACCCTAAACATAACCAAAACCGGCCGGACATGTCAGAGTTGGGACACTGACACCCCACACAAACGTTGGGACTATCCCATGGGGATGTCACGCGGGGACCCCGCCCTAGTTGACGAGAGCAACTACTGTCGGGTGAGCCCTGCCACCGCAGTGCCATGGTGTTATACGCTGGACCCCAGCGTTCGTTGGGAGAAGTGTAGTGTCCCGTTCTGTTGAGTACATTTTTACGCAGCAGCTTTTAGCAATCCTCCAGCAATTTCATGGTGGGGAACACCAGTCTTGGGGGGTAAGGGGTTTGGGACTGCACATCACGAATGAAGGCATAGTAGCTTCACGCACAGTATCAATATATGAAGCCAAACCAGGCATGAACTAACGAACTATCAACTGTGCTACTGTGCCACAATGTGTATGCCAGGACATTAGACGGTTATATGGACATGGACGTTATATGGACACTCAAGTGTATGACATATTCAGTAGACGGTTTGACGGATGATAGACGATTTATTGGCATCACTGGCCTCCAACGTGAATAACGATAGACAGTTTATAGGCGTCATATGGACAGCTAAGTGTACTACGATAGACTGTTTATAGACGTAATTTTGACGCTGAAATGTTTGTTGATAGACGGTTTATTAAAGCCATCGCGACGCTTAAGTATATGACAGAAGATATGGACGCTCAAGTCGAACTTTGTGACGGCGGTCTATAATCCAGTGATTGAGCATCGATCCACGCAAATGAGATACGATGACACGAATTCAGCGACTCTGACTACCCGATCCCGTTAGTGGCCGCTTACGACAATCATAGTTTTATGTAAGCTCGATTTAAATCGAGGAAAGGCTTCAATATTCCTTTGCTGAAAGCCTAGTATATTCCACCATTTACTATGGGATGCACTGTTAGAAGCTAAACACAAACCTGAGCACGTTTCTTTCCAATAATTTTAACGCGTCCAGAGACCGAAACATGTTTAAGTCTTAAACATTGTCAGCGTTGTTTTTCAAATCTAAACATGTTTAGGATGTTTGTGTCGTCAAAGTTCTAAACACGTTTAGATAAAACTTTAATTACGTTTGGGATTTCAACACATTTCTTAGCGCGTTTACGAGTAAACGTGTCTGTGTTCGATACCTGTACACATTTACAGTGAAGTGTCAACGAGAATTCGCATATCTTTGTACGCAATATAGGCATGGTTATATTATCAGCACGTAATGTTAATGTTGTATGTTGTTTGAGATACAATCCAAATAAGTGTGACGTTGTTATGTACTTAATAAAATATAATCACAGTTTACGTTTTCTCCTACGCTTCGATACTCTTCAAATCAATATGACCAATTACGTGTTTTCATTCTCAAAAAAGCATTTGTTCGATACGTTTCTATTTATGTTTGATAAGAGGAATTGATTTTGTTTTCCTTGGATTATAAAGACATAAAGCAGTCTTCGGAAATGAAATGGACAATATTTCTGTCAATATGGAGACTAAAGTGTGTTTAGATATCCAGTTTTGTCTGTACAAATTATTTGTACAGTGTGTCTTTACAGTGTGTACATTATGTCTTTTCTCAACTGAAACTCTGTAGGTAGTGTACCGCAACCTATTGGGATCGAGAAAATCAATGTAAGCCCTTCATTTGCTAAAAGGTAAGCGTTTCGGATGAATGATTATTAATGGCAATAAAACAGTAAATGTTTACCAAACAAACCATCATTGGAGATCACACAGACGTTATTGACGTGTTGTAGATGGGATGTATTCCTCGTACAAGCCACGGGGCGGTCGGGTAGCCTAGTGGTTTAAGCGTTCGCTCGTCACGCCGAAGACCAAGGTTCGATTCCCGACATGGGTACAATGTGTGAAGCCCATTTCTGGTGTCCCCCGCCGTGATATTGCTGGAATATTGCTAAAAGCGGCGTAAAACCATACTCACTCACTCACTCACTCACTCGTACAAGCCACGATCACCTCAACTCAGAGTTGTATTGATTGCATCATATTCACGCCATTGTACAAGGGGCTTCGATGATGGCTACTTCATTCAGTGTAGATAAATATATCCTCAGCTTTAGATGCGGGTTTTTTTTGCCTTTGATATTTCGGAATAGCTACTTAGGTAAACTCATGGGCAAAAGGAAGCATACACTTTTAAATTGATTTTTCCCCCAAAATTATCAAAGTGAGCAAAATTGTATAAGGCTTGAAACAGTTGCCCCAAAACTGCAATGTCAATCTCCAAAACGAAACGCATTGGCCGTAAAGATGCACGTGCCAAAAGTGGCCAGAAGTCACCAATTAGCTTTTCCAGGTATTCGTAAAATTGCACGTGCCGAATTTGTATAAAAATGCGATAAGCGTTGCTAAGTCATCACATGTAATACAAAAACACCAAAGATATGCTACGATTAGCTGCGGAACGGCGTTAGGACAGCGTATCAGTCGACGCACGGTGCTACGGCGTCTTCGTGACGCAGGTATTAGAGCTCGCCGTCCTTTCCGTGGAATGGCATTGACCCGGGAACATCGACTTCGAAGACTGTAATGGGCCAGGACGGAAGACGTTGGCATGTCCGTGATTGGCAGAAATCTCGGACGAAAACAGGTTTCAGCTGTTTCACAATGATGGTAGAGCTCGAGGACACATGTTCATCAGTTTTCAAAACACAGTAGGTTTATCTCTATTCTACCATGACGACAACAATGCTTTGAAGACGGTGCTCTCTTGCAACGCGTAGCAACACAGGGTACAAAGGTCCGCAATCTTAGAACATTCCGAAAAGTGGTCACAGGTAGTTATATATGAAACAAGTATTACTAAAGTTCAAGATTAAATACACCATAGTCTTGAGTAGTTCAAAATAAGTGTTCAAAACACATAGTTGTTCAAAAAGAAGTTGACAAATAACCCTCCTAACTTAGTCCAAAGACCGATGTTTTAATTTCTACCAACTTTCTTTGCACTGTTTGGACTGACCCCAAGTCAATTCTTTGAAAGAGAGAGAGAGGTCATTCTTTGGAAATCGAACATGCCATTTCCATTGTAGGGGTGACAGGTTGTAGAAATAGTTTTTAAAATGCTAAACGTATATATTTCTACAACAAACTTTATGAATTAACCTTCTACTATTCATGTTGCACCTGTAAGTGTTATTAGTGTGTTAGCAATTACCCCCAGTGAATAATACAAAATCAAAATAAACGCCTCTCCACCCCGAATTTGGATGTGGCAGAACTTGACCTACATCACAGTAACTCACACTTCCATGCTGTCAATATGGCTGCCAATGTTTACATTTTCCGTGCATTAGCATACAGGTTACGAAGCAAGATGACAACACCGATCTATGATTGTGCTTAAACATTAACCTGTGGATTCACTGGGAATGAGTCTGCTGGTACAATGTGATTATAAGCTTAAACGAGACGTACCTGTAAGGTGAAATTTGAGCTTGATTCCATCGATAAATCTGTATACTTAGGGGTTACGTGAGAGAAAAGCGCATGCTGATGGTCAGTTTTAACGGAAAATGTTTGTATCCTTTGTACCCAGGGAATGGAAGGGTGGGCACGTAACCCCTAAGTATACAAATATATCGATGGAATTAAGCTCAACTGTCGATGCGTAAATCATGGGATGAACATCGAAATCTTGCCAGTGAAATGCGGTATTTCTTTATATTTACATAAGACAGATACTGTTCAGTGTATATACGAGTTTTCAACATTCTATAATATAAATCATTACTCGATAATGTAAACGAAAATGATCACGATTGCAGATAATATTTTTTAGCCTCTGTAGAAAAGAAATGGTAAATACGATTTTAGATTGTACAAATTGATCATACCAAACATTTCCAAAACCACTTTTAAAAAACAGTATTCTCACATGAGTTACTCAATTGGTCTTTCCATTCGTATCGTATAACTTCATCATATTGTAACATTTCTTATGGTATCTCGATGAATTCATTTTAAGGAGTTTCAGTCAGTACTTTATAACCTTCAGCTGTGAATATATAAATAGAGGTAATCTACCAAATTCTCCATAAACCATTGGGCTAGATGTTTTGGGTTTTACACCAAGAAAGTCTTACATGCAAATAAGTGGACCTTTTCGATATCATTCAATTGTTTTAATCCCCATATTTCAGCACCGTAAAGTAAAATTGGGTTAATTTTAACATCAAAGATCTTAAAGAATGACTTGTGATTTCACTAAGGATATGTCTATTCTTCAATGGACCTTTTCGATATCATTCAATTCTTTTAATCCCCATATTTCAGCACTGTAAAGTAAAATTTGGTTAATTTTAACATCAAAGATTTTAAAGAATGACTTGTGACTTCACCAAGGATATGTATATTCTTCAATATATGATCAGGCTTAAAAGCGGCACTGAGATCGAGAAGGACGAGCTACGTTTCTGCATCATCTCCACGCTGGAGGTTATTGACGACTCTGAGAAGAGATGTTTCCGTGCTGTGGTTTGGCCTGTATGTAGTCATCCTATCCGACATCATCGACGAGGTTCTGGTGCAATGTTGCTCCAGACTGTACAGTTACCCTCTGGACCAAAGAGTCTCATTCCATATAAATCTTACAAGCCATTAAGAGATTCAATTCGTGACCTAATATCACGATCTGGCTTTGTAGCCAAATGTGAACTATGGCGATCTCAAAGTTCGTCATCTGACACGTTGTCTGATGTCTACGATGGTCAGATTTGGAAGAACTTTAGTGAGAATTTCCTCACCACAAGACATAATTATGGCCTAATGTTTAACCTTGACTGGTTTCAACCCTTTAAACATGTGAAATATTCCGTGGGTGTATTATATATGGTCGTTTTAACCCGCCACGTGAAGAACGTTTCAAACGTGAAAACATTATTCTGGTCGGCGTCATTCCCCATATGAAGAAAGAGCCGCCCACAAATACATTTGTTCAACCACTAGTTGATGAACTCCTTGACGCTTGGAGCGGTGGGTTTACTTGCTAAGGTAGAACAGATCGTTTGGCCTTAATGCGTGTACGTTGTGATGTACCTGCAAGTAGAAAACTTTGTGGATTTCTCGGTCATGCTGCTATCAAAGGTTGTTCGCGGTGTTCTAAAACCTTTCCTGGTGATTTCTGAAAACGTGACTACAGTGGTTTTTATAGGGAAGAGTGGCAACCTAGGACACACGAGAACCACATTGCTCAAGTTAGACAGATATCTTCCAGTACAAGAAAATCAGAACGTGAGAGGCTAGAACGTTTGTATGTCACACGGTATTCAGTTCTATCTGAGCTACCATATTTTGACATTATCCACATGTCGGTGATCGATTCCATGCATAATCTTTTTATGTGAACTTTTAAACACATGTTGCATGTATGGAAAGAAAATGGCGTATTGACTGATAAGGACTTTGAATTAATTCAGATCAAAATCGATGTTGCAGAATGCCTCGTAAAATTGCATCTGTTGCGCTTCTGTATCTTCTTTGAACGCCTTTTTTGGTAAAGGTATACAAAATTGTATATTTTGTATATATTGGAATTTTCCCTTGTGTACGTTTCTGCATCACCTCCACGCTGGAGGTTATTGGCGACTCTGAGAAGAGATGTTTCCGTGCCCTGGATTGGCCTGTATGTAGTCTGGAAGTATTGGCAGCGTTCGTGGTTTAATGCTTGTACAGTCGACTAAGAACTGATATTTCTATTACTTAAGATAGGAAGATCAAGATCGAGACGGGTCTATAGTTAACATGTTATCTGAATCCATCCCTGTTTCGTAGACGATTTCACCAAGGTCATCTTCATGTCAACTGGCATAACTCCTGACTATAGGCCTGTGCCTACTGTGGAGACCACTGTGAGCAGAGTGTCAATGGCTTTTAATACAAAAGTCCGATTTAAATAGGATCAAGAGGACACTGGTTTACATCTATAATGAAACATTTAAGTTGCATATGGTTCGATTCCGAACGAAGTTAAACCATAAGATCAGAGAAACATGTCACTTGGAATGAAGAAGTAGTCAGCAATACTACCCCCTTGGTGGCATATCGCTTACTGTGCGCGCTTTTAGGATATGCATATTGAGAAGTGTGCACACCTATGTATTTACATCTCTGTCATTTGTATGTCTTGAATAGTCACAATAATCAGAATTATCATCCTTTCCAACTGGTATATTGGAAGCATCAAAATATTTTACATAATCTGACTCATCAAACGTTCTTGCGATGAAATACCCGCACCTTTCTCAAAAGTCCAATAGTATCTGCAGAAGTTTATCTTCTTAAACGTCTATGTCATTTCGGGGCGGTCGGGTAGCTTAGTGGTTATAGCGTTCGATCGTCACGCCGAAGACCCGGGTTCGAATCCCGAGGTGGGTACAATATGTGAAGCCAATTTCTGGTGTTCCCAGCCGTGAATATTGCTAAAAGCGGCGTAAAACCATACTCCCTCACTCACTCTACGTCATTTCCTTTTATATGGTTATAAAAAGACGAGCCATCAGGGTGTACATAGATAAACCCTACTACCAGATCACATGGCCATGTTATATGTTTTACCTAAAGGAACATGCACTTTTCCCATACTCTTTCATAGTAGGCAGATTATGTATAGGATAAAACACGTCCGAGGGTTGTTATGGTATTTAATACCCGCATCCCATATC